GGGCCCGAGAGGGCCGTGGGGGGGGGGGGCAAGAGGCGGGGGGGGGGATGTCCCGGGAGGCGGAGAGGCCGTAAAGGAGAGCATCATGAAGAGGGATTTGACGTTAATTGATTCGGAAGAGCCCTCATCAAACTACCCCCCCCCAACTTCGCTCTCTCCTCCCCCTCACTGCCACCCATCCCCAACCGACGTGGGGGCACGCGTGGGGTGATTTGGGTAGGGGGCACGCCGGTGATACAATTACAGCACAACGTGGATCCATATATAAACATGTCGCGTCTTCACCGTGACCGCCTCGCAAACAAAGACGAATATTCGCCCGCGTCGCCTCTCGCGGCCGATCAGGGCGAGCGCTGCCAGCGAGCGCGTCTGCACTCGCTCCCAGAAGGCTGTGGAGCTGATGGGATGTGTAAAGAAAAATACGTCCAGCGACAAACATGGTAAGGAGTCGCGCCGAGTTTGCCGAGTGATTTTTATTGCACGATTATCTCGGATTAACGTGGGGGGGGGGGGGGGAGTGGGGGTAACTATACCCGTGTACAAACCTAGCAGGGGGACAGCCCCAGGTGAGGAGCGACGTGGGGAGAGGGCGGAGTGGGACGAGGCGAGGTCGACTGCAGATGACTCTCAGGAGATGGACGGGTGAGGTGAAGGACAGGCGATGCTCAGAAGGGCGAGGAAGGCTGGGAGGAAGGGCAGGTGAGGTTCGGAAGCTGTGAGGAGGTGGTGAGGTCGAGGTGATGAAGAGGAGATGCGCAGGTAAAGAGGTGGAGGATGAGAAGGAGTGGGGAGGTAAGGTGGTGAGAGCGAGGTGAAGAGGAGGAGGAGGAGGAGGAGCGCACCTGGGTGAGAGAAGAGGCAGGGCACCTGGAGCAGCGCGATCTCCAGGAGCGCGAGCCTCATGGTGATAGAGGTCACCAGGGGGTCAATCCCGGGGACAGAGGTCACCTGACCACGTGCACGTGGCACACAGATAGACGAACACACGAAGAGAAAGACAATCAAACACAAGCCCATGGACTCGTCCTCCCCGCGTCTGACGAAATGCGTAGCCCTGCAGCTCCTTGCAGGCATCATCCCATAACGAAATTACATCCCAGATGTCCACTGCCGATCATAGCAACGCATCTCATCACATCTCTCAACCACATCATGCTATCACATGCATCCTCCACCAATCATTCCTTACCATCCATGCATCACATCTGTCACCTCATCATCCCAACGCATCCCTACCCATCCCATCAATCAATCCTTCCTATACGTCACGTTAATTCCAATCCCATCGGACTCCATCCAATACCATCCCATTACATCCCATCACAAATCTCATCACATCACATTCCACTCCTTCCCAGGATGTTACAGAGGATGACGATGATGGTGATGATGATGGTGGTGGGGTTTATCGAGATGTTAAATATGATTATATGGATGCAGGCTAGACAACTGATGGAGGAGGGATGATGATGATGCTTATGATGATTATTTTTCTGAACGTGATAACGATGCTGCTGATGGTGATGATGGTAGTAGTAGTAATATTGCTGCTTATAACGATTTTAATAATGACATGATTTGCAGTTAATAATTAATTATCGTAACTGATGATAATGATGATTGGTGACCACGATTATGATAATTGATTATCGATGATGATTATGATTTTGATAATTGTAGATGATTGATGATCATTATTGATGATCATGATGGTTATTTAAGATGATGATTCATGATGATGAGTGATTGCATCGTAGTTACCGCTGTTGCGTTCCGAGTTCTCTACCGAAGCGACCCAGCCGCAACTCCCGCTCCATATCGGAACGGGAGCCTCTCCCTCCTCCTCTTTTGCTCTGCTCCTTGCTCGCTCGCTCCCTCCTCTCCTGCCTCGCTCCCCCGCTCTGGGCTTGTGCTGGCGGAGCAGGTGTCAAGTGGCGAGCGATGATAGCGACTCGCGTGTTTTATATAGGGGGGAGGCTCAGTGGCACACACACATACACACCCACACACACCCACATACACACGTGCGCACACGCTCACGCATCGACACAGCCAGACACGCACCCACACATACAACAACAACCGCCATTCGCCACTAAGTGGCGGTAACGTCACCACGACGCTTGTGCCAGGCCATGTGCACCTTGAGGCCACGTGGAGTGTCGAACGCCCACTGACAGGAGGTCACGGGGCAGACCCAGGTGCCACGGGTCGACTGACTGAGATGACCGAGATGACTGGCTGATGCACCACCAGTGCCCCTTACTGTGCCAACCTGCTGTGCTTTAGCCACCCGGCGCTCCGCTCGTTGTTGTGAGCGTCGCTCCTCCGCCCTCCGTTGTTGTTGGAGGGCGACTGCCTCCAACTGCCCAGTAGCGTCCTTCACGAGCCTCCTCCACAGAGGCCGATCTTGACACCGCTGGTACCAGTCATCGGCAAGTCCACTCAGCTCCACGTCCTCCTGTACCACATCACTCCATCTCTTCTCTAGCCCGTGCCGCGCCCGTTTAGCCCCCTCAATCCCGTCGAACAAAAGCTGTTTTGGCATGTGGTGGCTGGGCATGCGGGTTACATGACCCAGCCACCGCAGCCTTGACTGCCGGAGCTCACACACACTGACACAGACACACGTGCGCACCAATATGCAAGCCGCCGTTCGACACTGAGCGGCAGTGACGTCACCACACCGCTTGTGCCAGGTTAGGTGTACTTTGAGGTCTTAAAGGCTCGCTGACAGGTCACGGGACAGACGCAGGTGCCATGGGTTGTGCTCCCCACTCTGCCATCTCGCTTGGGTTTGTCCGCCAGGTGGCTCCGCTCGTTGTTGTGAGCGTTTCACCTCCGCCCTCCGTTGTTGTTGGAGAGCGACTGCCTCCCACTGCCGAGTAGCGGCGCGTCCTTCATGAGCCTCCTCCATAGAAGTAGATTTTGACACCGCCGTCTGTGTTAATAGAGCCGATTCAAATTAACACCGAGATCTCAGTGTGCATGTGTGTGTACACGTGTTCCACGCGACGCAGACGACGTAACTTTCTTAGCGCGTCACGTGGGACGTGTTTAACAATCATCGGGCGCGTGCAGCGCGTAACGAAGTAATGTGAATGGGGGGTAAATTGGTAAATGCGGAAATCTGTAGTGTGGTTGGAGGTCGCGAGGACTGGCGTTTGGGAGATCCGATCATAGACCGACAGAGACCCATAGACTCGCACAGAGACCCACAGACTCACGTAGAGACCTTCATACTCGCAAAGAGGCCCATAGACTCGCAGAGACCCATAGACTCGCAGAGACCCACAGACACGCATAGAGATCCAGACTCACATAGAGACCTTCAGACTCGCAAAGAGACCCATAGACTCGCAGAGACCCATAGACTCGCATAGACGGCGTTGCGATGAAACCGAGTTCTCAAGTGTAGTGAATTGGTGGTCTCTGCCCGGTCTCCCAGCGATCAAACGCCTCGCCGTGAATGCCACATCACGTGGGCGTCTCTCTCAGGACGCTCGACGGACAAAGCACGGGAGAGAGCTGCCCCCTAGCGTATAAAATACACTACACCGCTTGCAGCGATCACTGTGACGTCTCTTGCCCATGGGTCGTTCTTCATCACGGGGAGAGGGTGGAGGGGGGGCTTGGAGATGCCCCCCGCCCATCTCTCGCTGAGCAATGGGCGAGGAGACCCACCAGAGCCAGCGTCACCACTTGGAGTTGGTTCCACCCGAGATGTTTACTGCATCGCCCGGTATACAGGAGGTCGTGGGTTCGACACGGACCCTGACGCCTGTATGTCTGCAGTTTGCGTGTCTCTCCTCCCTTGTTGATTTTTCTCCGGATCCCTCGGTTTCCCCCTCCACATTACTGAACACGCGCTTAGAGTATTTGGCTGTTATAGATTTCCAAGTGATCAGTCACCTCGTCGAGGCATAATTTGTGATGGCCAGGTCGCTTCTGAAAAAGAGCGACATAGCTCGGTGGGCATTACCTGCTGCAATAAACGTAGTTCGTAGTTCGTGTCTCCAATGCGCCAAGCGAAGCCGCGGCCCCGAGTTACCCACTTCCCCGTCTCCCTCTTCGTGCTCTGCTCAGCGACTCGGCACGCACGAGACGCCCTTACGGAGCCGGCCGGTGGCCGCGCAGGCCCCGTAAAGCGGTGAGGGTTGGGGGTTCACGCGCACACATCGCGCAACTCCCTTTCTGTGGAAGTCGAGGACGTGCCGCTGGCTTGCCAGGAGAAGGCGGTGCAACAAAGTGCGGACTAACATCACACGTCCCTTGTGAACGGGACAGAGCGGTGTTTCTCACTCATTTCCAGAGGGGGGAGCCACTTTCACCGTGAAGACATCAGTGCGAGGGCCGCCACACATTGTAAACAATGTAAAGCATTGGATTTGACAGCACGCTGATGGGGCGTCTTCACGTGCTGTATTGTCGCGGGCCGCGCGTCAAGTGGCCGCACTAAAGGCTAACAGGGGCCGCCAGTGGCCCTCAGGCCTTGCAATGAAGACCACGGGGAGAGTGAAGCCCCACATCCCACGAGTGGGCTTTTTTACAGGTACTGCGGCTTCTTCACACACGGATACTCATTGAATGGCTGAACATATCTGTATATAGAGGACTGCAGAGCTTGAGAAATTGACGCCCGTTCTGCGCTTGGCTGCCTCCCAAGCTTGTCTGTGTGACTTGTGGGCTGATGCGTCTCTTCGTCACTGTTGCAGAGACACGAATACAAACCCAGAGGCTTGCTTTTGATAAAGTGTTCCCGCTTCGTGCTGTTCAACCATCTCCACCAGCCGTGAGATACGGAAGGGGGCAACACAACTGAACATCAGTCGCTCCCGAATGTTTTTCTATGCGGTCTGCTCTCCCGCTATGACCACACCATCCACATGTACCCACCATCGCACCGCCACCACCATCAATAGACACCATCTCTCGCACCACACATGTTGCACCACCACTCCACAGCACTTCCATGAAAAACTACCACCACCATTGCCGCATCTCGCCACTTTATTGATGTGTAAGACACTTCACATTTATACGGGACCCCCCCCACCCCTTCCAAAATCCTCGATTTATACCTCACTCCCCGATAGGCGGAGAGCATAAAAATACTTAAACATGCGCGCGCATTGTTCAGCAACACGACGATGGCCGATGTATCGCGCATAAACAGCTGAAAGAGTTGCCACCTCTCCGGGTTTGCCCCCTCGGTACAAGTCTGAGAGTTGGCATCTGTGTCCGGGTGGCAGCAGGAACTGATTCGCACGCAGCTCTTGTACCGGTATTGTTTAACCTTTAAATATATCAGCGGGTTTGGTTTGTACTAAAGGTGGCAACCCTAAAGTTCACGGATGCAAGTGCAGCAGCTGGAGGGGTGGGAGGGGGCCAGAGGCACAACCACACGGCCCAGGAGCAACTGCATGCATGGAGCACGTGCCAGGTTCATCCACAGTCCGGTTCTCACGACACACGCCGTTCTGCCTTGCTACGATTACCAATCGACCGACTCCACGCTGCACACGTCCCGACGGTAGCAATGAACACGTTCGCGTCCACGTCTTGCCCAAGCGATTTAGACACTCGATTCTTGCTACGTCGCTTGGGGCTTGTCTACTCATCATCGGGCACGTGCAGCGCATCAACGGCTTCAACTTGTATGTTCGAACGGAGCCGATAAAGCGTGTAAAAGCAGACCGAAGTGGGTCGTGAGGAGTGATGTCTGCGAAACCTTGGGTTTCACGATACAGGCTGGATGCATGCTACACATCACTTGCTCCGGTCACACCTGGCGAGGGCAATTTACAAACTCCGGCCCGGATAGCTGCGATTCGTGACACCGGTGGCACCGCCAACCGCCGTGAACACAATTCCATTACGTGGTCTTAGAAAACATTCGCGCAAACGCCAACATTCGCTCCTCGCGTACGACCGTAAACTTTAACGTACCCAAGTTAGACGCCTTCAACAATACTTACAGAGTAGTGTGAGCTCAGTAGCAGTGCGAGGTTAGTGTGTTGTGAAATGAGTGGTGTTAGGGGAGTGGTTTAAGAAAAGTTGTAAAGGATTACTGGAGTGAGATGAGCGTGGAGTAAGATTATAGTGCTGGTGGGCTGCGGTTTGGTGAAGAGTGCTGAAGAAAAGTGAGCAGCAAGAGTGGTGTGAAGCACAAGCTGTGAGATGAGAGATGCGAGTTTAGAATTGTGCGATAGGAGTGGCGTAAGATGAGTGGTGTGGTGTGAGAGGTGCGAGACGGTGTGACGCGAGTAGTGTGACGTGATGTTATGACGTTTTCCCATGCTCCCCCGTGGCATTACAGGGAGATCTGAACACATGAGTGTATGGACCTGTGCCTGTCTGTGTGCACATCAGTCATTGAGCAAGGGCTGATCTAAGCGCAGTTGTTGACGATCGAGCGTGATGGTGCATCAACACTACCATGCGCCATGCAGGGAATTATTTCCCACTGAATATTTTCTGGGTCGCTAATATAACCGCAGTAGGCGTGCGACAGGTATCCACAGCAATAGCGAGAGGGACACTGGATGTGGCGTTCCAGGTCGGTGTGGACATATTTTACGGGTTGCCGATCCAGACGGATTCAGCTGAAATTACCCGGTGACACGCTGGCACAACCGGCACCCACACAGCCGCCCTCAAGCCAGGTCAGGCAGCTCTGCGGGTGCCACTCGCTGCCGACCACAAGCAGTCACGACCTCGCGTCCGAGTGAAACAGATTTTAACTTATTTATTAAGTCTATGTTCGTTTACTCCTAATAATCACTAGCATCTCCCTCAGCGGGGGCCACTTACCATGGACCAACCCCCCCTCACTTGAACATTCAGTGAATTTGTTTAGCTTAAACACTTAGGTGTACTGTTATCTTAACAGAGGTGGCGTCAAAAGCTACCTCTACAGTTTGTTCCAGTTAAGTTTTCTGAAGGGATCTTTACCTGCCGAAGCTAAGATTGCTTATCCCCTAAGGGCTGCGACTAATGGCCTATGCGGGAGACTGTTGCTATGTCTGCCCAGCGTGCCAAGCCCTCGTCAACCCCTCCGCCACTCCCACCACCAGCCGTCTCTCCTCTTCCTTCTGCTGCTCAATCTCGTCTTCTATGGCGAGACCGTAAGCAGAAAAGTGGTTCACCTGAACGCGCACACACACAGAAGCGCTCCCGTCAATCCACTGCTGGATGCGGACCTTCCTAGTTCGTGCAGGTCGTAGGGGGATCATGCGATGCAGACACACGTGAGCAATTACGTTGAGGTGTTTAATTCAGATATCAATTACAAACCACAATAGGAATGAAACTAATTATTTGTTAGTTTCATTTCTATTTTCAACAAAGCAAACGCAGAAAAACCGAACGAGGATACGTAGATTCGCTGTGCTTGGCAAGGGATCAAGAGAACAACATTGGAGTGGTCTCATGAAGCAGAGGAGAGAGATTAAAAGAAACAAGAATAGAGAGATTGACGGGGTAAGCCGATTAAGGAAGCAGCAGGTCAACAAAAGGGGACCCCCCCCGACCCCCCCCCCACCCCCCCATGCCTTCTAACAGACAGCCAGGGAACCCTGAGCGTCGGAGCCCCAAGATGTTCAATAACGTCCCTTAATTGGAATATGCGCGCAATTTAGATGCTGCCCATCTGCGCGGGTGGCGACGGCGATCGTGCCGATACCTCGAAGACCCAGGAGCCGCTCTCGGGCCGGTACTCGAGGAAGCGCGCGCCCTGGCGCAGCGCCGCCTTCTCCAGCCGCGCGCCGTACTCCATGCGCTGCAGCCGCTCGGGGCTGCGGATCGGCGTGCGGCTCGTCTTGTCCGTGGGCCACACCCCGTCCAGCGTCACCTCCGCTCGCCTGTGCACCGTGCGGGCAGAACCGTGCACAGTAGGGGGGGACGGGGTGGACAGATGGAGAGGAGGCAGGGCACAAGAGTGAGGCCCGGTCAATGCGATTGGCAGAAGCATTATAACAACACCAACGGCCATTCGCAACTAAGCGGTGGATGACGTCACCACGGCGCTTGTGCCAGGCTGTGTAAGCCTTAACGTGTACACATACACACACACACGTCTTACTGAAACAATTCGTGCACTGCAAGTTAGTCGTGAACGTGCCAAATATGTTCGCCTGCGCAGGTTGAAGGCGGGGAGCATGAAAGCGAGAGCGCAGAACCGCAGTAGAACATCGGATTTATTGAATTTGCTTCATAAAGGCCACAGTGTTGTCAACGAATGCGTCGAGTTGACCGTGTGAATGCGTTCAGCAAGACTGATCGTGTGGGTCGCCCGGTTGTGCTGTGCCGGCAACGCGAGTGCCGGCGATGCCCACCCACCTGTTGAGGCCCTGGCCCACGCGGGGTTTGCTGCCGTCGTCCGGGTAAACAATGACCTCCTTGCGGCGGATGTGCACGATGGCGTCCAGGTCGAGCCCGCTCACGTCCATACGGCCGGGGAAGAGGATCGAGCCGTAGCCTGGCACAAGCACCGCTCCACGTGAGTGCACGACCTGCTTCCGCAAGATCACCTCCCCACACTGAACTCCCCTCACGGATTCCTCCAACCATTGTGAGGATTAGGTCTACCGAACTGTTTCGTGTCATCCAAAGTGTTGAACCACCGTAACTCAAGTCAAAAACAACACGCTCACTCAACCACTCACACACCCAGCGACCTGCTCATATACTCACTCTCTCATCTACTCACCTTCTCACCCACTCCCTCTCTCATTCACTCACTGACCCACCGATGTACACATATTAATTTTAATGTTTGCAATTTTACCTTAATACAGCACCCCGAAGCAGCCTGCCTATTTTCACGGACGATGCAACGAAAGATTTAACATTTTCTTTAGTTCCTTACCAACGCGTCCGATGACGAAGTTAGTGACGGTGCAGACCCCATCCTCGTCCACCATCCTCCCCAGCTCCTCCAGTGAGGGGATGGTGAAGTACCCGGCCCGAGTCAGCACCATGCCTGCCCGGCACGACACACAAACACACGCTTTACGGCACAAGCCGGACTGCACTGCGCCAGTTTTGCGGTCATCTTCATCATCATATCGATAAAAGTCAACTTGTAACACGCCGTCGCATGGCGTTTGCTCGCTCTCGCAGAGAAAGACCGACTCTGAGGCGCGAAGACGAATCATAGTCGAGCGGAAGGGCAGCAGCAGCCAGGCAGTGAGGTGGTGCCACATTCCCCCTCCCCCTAAGCTCTGAGATCCGCTATATATTAAGATGCTATCGGCCAATTCATGAGTGTTTACACATGGGAGAAAATCGGAGCGCCCAGAGAAAAACCACGCGATGCAAACGGCAGCCGAAGCAGTAGCAAGCCAGTGGACATCCAGTGTGGTAATGGAACGATGAAATCAGCTCATGTGCAGGACAAAGATGAACCGTTGCATTACAAGACCACTAGAGGTAGTGATGGCTTGGGGAAGCCTACATCTGACATTGAATAGACCATGACCGCTCATGATAATGAAAGTGGTCAAATTAGTCTTGACCGGGTCTTGGTCAAAATTAAATCACAAATCCAATCCAACGAGCAACTTCACACACGACTTTTGCAATCTCTCTCACCCATTCGAAAGAGGACTTGCAGCATTATCTCGTACCTGCGGGGTGAGGCTGCTTCTGGGTGTCCCGCTCTCTGCTCTCTTGCTCGCTGCCCCACGCGTCCTTCGAGCTAAACTCTCCCACCGATCCATCGGGGGAGCTCAGACCGTTGCTGTGGCAGACAGCGGGACCGTTGGTCGGACCGGGAGAGTGCGGGGGCGAGTGCTGGGGGCCCGTTCGTGCCTCACGGAAATTTGTCCCACCACCATCGCAACCACCACCCAGCTTGCCATCCACCTCATCGTGGTGGTCTCCCTCCTGGTGTCTCTCCTGCGAGGGGCTGCTCGTGAACACAAGAGCGGAAACGGCGTGGCATGTTGATCTCCAAAATTCAACCACGGAAATTCCAAAAACAAGACGAAAGCTATTCAGCAGTCGGTCTGTATACATTATTTAAGCAAGAGATTAAATAAACATATGGAGACACGTGACATAATGCACTGTTTAAAAGGGCGACCTGGATTAATAATTTTTATGCGATGTACTCTGCAACGTCAATCTGGGCGACCAACGCATGACATTGAATTTGGCAGTGGTGGAGCTGTTTACCGCTCTGCCGGCTCGGGGTAAACGGACTGTGGGGCCAGGTCATCGGCTTCTTGATGGCGCTGCGTTGGCGAGGTGGCCAGCGGGGAGGACGGAGTTGGTGGAGAGGGAGGAGGAGGCGTCTTGGCCGCCACAATCACCAGCTTCTTCACACTCTTCCTGCGAGCGAAACACACAGCATACTCATCAACGCAAATAACCAAGGGTGTGGTTGTGTCTTCCTGTGTGTTGTAGCAGGGAGCGGTGGTGTAACGGTTAGCACGCTCCGCTACTAACCTGGCGACCCGAGTTTGAATCCCATTCACGGCCAACACCACTGATGATAATTTTAACTGGTCTTGGGCCTCCCCTGGGTCAACTCAGCCTGAAAATGAGTACCTGGTGTGGTGTGTAAACATCATCACCAGGGAGACAAAGGCAGCCGGGTGTAGCGCTGGCCACCCACCGCCTCTATGTGCCGTACCGGCCTTCAACAGTACTTGCTCCTACAACCTGTTAAGGCTATACGGGGGATCTTTGTCTTTTGTGTCTGCGCTGGCTCACCGTGGGGTGAATGTCTGCTGAGCCGCCCTGGCCTCGTCCTCCTCCTGCCCATCATCCCCGTTCAGGCCCTGCAGGTGGAGGGGTGCCATCTGCGTGCGTGGGGGCCCGGGGGTCGCCCTCGGGGCCCCTCCTGGCACCAGTGCCTTGGGCCGCACGCGCGCAGTGGCGCGGGGGGACAGGCGGTAGTGGCTCGGAGTGACCAGTGACTTCTGCGTCGTGGAACTCGTGGGCTTCAGCAGCTGCCGAGACACGGGACGGCGAGAGGGAACAACGCGCGAGGGTCACACCAGCCGTACCACCTTGTGGAACGTCAGCAGTGCTTGTTCTTTGAATAGACCCATGCCTGCCAAAGGAATGTGGAATTTCTACCCCTGGCTCAGGGCTGTAAACAGGAGATAAGCACTGCCCATGTTGGTTTTTGACATGACCCAACTCTTTACATATATCCCAGGTAAGGTGCAAATCATAATATCAAATTAAACAAATCTTGGTTGCATATCTGAACCTCCAAAATATGGGAGGTTGCCCCAGTGTTATATTGAAATGCTTTGAGTGGAACACAGTAATGGGGGTTTCATGAAATTGCATGTGACTGGGCAGATGTGAAGCAATGGTACATTAATCATTGTTGAAAATATACGATACATGGATAAAATTGTGCATAGAAGAATAAATCACACCATATGCACAGTATATGCCTATGTTACGATCGCAATACAACTAAGGCCAATCGTGCAAACGGGATAAACTCAACGAGAACCAGTACAAACGAGACGGTTAAAACAACACAAAGAGCAAAATCTGAATCCCGATCGCAAACTGTAATAACGTATCGAATCCCGTGGGGGTAAGGTGGTGGTGGCACCGAGCAAATATCATCACGGGTGCCACACACAGGCACCAAACCCTCAGCCAACACCAATAGCCCCTGCCCTGGGGCGTCGCGAGTGCCGACTCTGACCTGCTGCTTCTTGGCGAGGTCAGAAGTGGGGTTGCTGAAGAGTGGAGAGTCTCCGAAGGGCGACAGCGCCAACGCCTGCACCTGCTGTTGCACCTGCAGCTGCTGTGCATTAATGTCTGCACGCATTGACACAAAGGTGAAGATCCCTCGTATAGCCTTCAAGATACTGTTGGGCAAGTGCTGTTTGCGAGAACCTATTACGGCCAGCACAGTACACGAAGGGAAGGGTTGGCCAGCACCACGCCCGGCCACCTTAGTCTCCCCAAAACTGATGTTAACACATGACACAGGTATTCATTTCAGGCTAAGACAACCTAAGAGAGGCCCAGGATAGGTTCAATAATTCGCCACTGTTATTGATCGCGAGTGGGAATTGAACTTGGATCGCCGGGCGATGCAACGCAGTGAGTTAATCAGTCCACACACAAATATCTGATCATTACTCCAGCCCCACTCAACCGGAATGCCTGTTCAATAGCCCGTTGTCATAACAGCAGTTCTGGAAGGTGAGTTTTACACGACATTACCGTTGCATAGCTGCTGTGAGTGTGTGCCCTGTTAAATTCAATCAGGACTGCTGGAACGTTAACACAGAATATCAGAGCGGTCAGCTCCCGCGAGTGCTGAGGACTTGTTTAGATTAATTGCGTCTTTGGCCATATCAAATAAATTAATCTCACGTAACACAATCCCATCTGCAATATTTGCTGCCAGCCCAGTTGTTTCCCTCTCATTGCTCCAGAGGACCTGACCCAAAATGCCACTGCCAGTCTCCTCACCGGCACTCAAAAACGAAGCCACATCGGCCCGATACTCCGATCTCAAATCCCTTCACCGGCTCCCAATCGGAGTCCGGACCAATGTCATGATCACAAAGTCCTCTTAAGACTTGCCAGTATCTGCCTCTCCACTCTTACTATATCCCCTCCACGCACTCTCCTGCCTCTCGTCCCTTACTCTATTCCCTTGAACGCACTCTGCTACCTTTCCCCTCTCACCTCACGATATTCCCTTCTTCCATGCACTCTCCGCTCCGGCAACTCAGAATGGAACTCCCTTCCCCCATGCCATCTTTGCTGTCGATTCCCTGCACCTGTTCGAGTGCCGGCTCGATAATTTCAATTTTTTACACTATGGCTGACTGCCCCTCGATATATAAAATAAATATGTCCACTGTTTGTGCATAGCGCGGTGGAGGTGCGGTCGCAATTACAGTGCTATGTAACTCCACATCGTGTTGCGTTGCTCACCAAGGGGAACAGAACTGTTCCCAAGCACAAGAGTGGGGTTGGAGGTACTGAAAGGGTTGCTGCTGAAGAGGCCCGCCAGTTTGGGCTGAGGAACGCCAAACAGCATGTTCTGTCCCGAGTTCATACCTGCCGCCAGACATGCGTACACACACACACACGCTTGGCACGTTAGGATGAGAGCTGGCAAGATTGGTCAATTAAGTTGACCAAAATTGTAACCAACTACCACTCTTGCGGTGGACGAATCAGGCCCCCTTTAAAAGTGGCGACCGGCCAGACATCCTGCCTCCTGAAAGCAGGAAACCCCCTCCAAGCCAAGACCAAGCGGGGCACGACCAAGGATGCTGGCGATGTCACCAAGCGCCGCCCGCCCATCACCTCCCGTCCGGCGGTACACGTGAGAAGAAAGGATTTGAGACCATTTTTGTTCAACAAATTTTGTGTTATCTGATTAATCGAGTAACCGAACTGATACTCAATTACTTCAATAATCAGATATCGATAGATTCTCATGCCTGCGCAGTGCAAAATCACTAACACGAACGTGCGGTACGCCGACGCGACTCACCGAACATGCCGGCAAGGGTGCCAGGCTGCACCCCTGCGTTCGGTTTGTTCTGCAAAATTCCAGATCCGCCGTTGTTGCTGGGAAACCCTGCAAAATCAAAGCAGTCCCGTAGCGAGCGCGTTAGTACCCGCCTATCGTGCTATGCTCTTACGCCGCAGCGTGGTGTGGAGACACACTCGAGCCCGGTTACGTGCTACTCACCGAAAAGCTGGCCGGACGCAGTGTTGCCGAGGGTCAGGCCGCCGGGCTTGGCGCAAAACGATCCCGTGCCGAGCGGTCCGAAAGTCGGCACGTTTGCCGTGGGCATGGAGAAGCCCGCCGTAGGTTTGTTGTGAAACAAACCCTGCATCACACGCAAGTAGGGGATGCAAAATAACCATTGGCGTCATTGTGGAGGATATACGTAACAAAATAGTATGCAATGTTCCATTCACATTACTGTCCCTACACATACAATGTCAGGAGAAATGTTTTACATCAACATGGGCCACACGGCCAACTGAAAGTCCAGTTTTAGCAACATGGTTTTGACATGCAGTGTCTCATCGGCAGTCAGGCTTGCTTGAACCAATGCTAGTGGGGGAGCTAACCGAACAGCTACACCTTTTGTCCTCATCCCACAGCTGGCAGGTGGGGGAGGTGGGCATGAAGATCTGGCAGTCTTGCTGATGCTCACCGAAGAAGAGTTGTTAAACAGAGTATTGTTGCTCGGGAAGAGCCCTCCGTTGGATCCGAAGCCTGTGGCAGTATTGCTGCCAGCACCGAAAATGCAGCCTTGCTGCACCGGCACGCTGTTTCCAAATACACCCTGCGCAAAGAATACACACAAAGGCAGCATTCTGTCACTCAACAGAAACATTCAGCAAAAGCATTGGGGCAGGGTTGTGCAAGTACAGATTAAAAAACAAAACCTTATCACTCATTATAAACACAAATATGCAGCCCCCAGCCACTCTACACTGTTCCAAGTGGCTGAGTCTGGAAGCACTGACTGAAAATGATGACTAATTCACCCCCATTACAGAACGAGGTTTTTATGGACAAGGATGGAATTTTGTTTGACGATTAAATATATACACATTAACTGCACATGACAATCACTGAATCACGAGCGTGGCATGGCCGGCACGGTTGTGAGTGCCAGTGCGGTGAGTACCGTAGTGTTGGTGGCGCCCGGCCCGAATCCCGAGGCCTGGAAGGAGAAGCCTTGTGCCGTCCCGCCCTGCGTGATGCCGCCACCGTTCATGGGCGCCACGAGGCCAAACGGCTTGGGGCCAAACACGCTGGGTGCCTGCTGCTGCTGATGCTGAGGTTGCCCAAACATGCCTGTGCCACCAGTCGTGAAACCTGTGTCAACCGTGCACACACACACACACCGTTAATGACACCACCAGCCTCGTCAGACCTTTGTCAATCTAATAAACTTGCAACTTAATAGAATTCACACGAATTCTTGCATTGAAGAGTTAAGCGGCGTTACTGCTTCAGGCATGAGGTGACTGGTAGATGTTTAAAGCTTAATTCAGATTAAAAAAATATATGGCATAGGTAAAGCTGCAGCGCATAACTGCTTACTCACAAAACTGCTGGCGGAAGAGTCTCCACTAGAGGGAGGTCTAAAGAGGCCCTCTATATGATATTTTGGCATATTCCTCTATGCTGGCCAAAAGTTTTGGAGGAAGAGTTCAGAGCACCCACACTTTACCCCACCAAACGTGACCTGGCAATCGAATAAGAGTGTACCCATTCAGAATGCCGAGGACAGTTGGATGGGAGATTTCATAAACTTGCACCATCGCTTCAACTGCCACATAAGGAAATGAAATTGAACCGATGACCTCTGCATTCCAATGTGCTAACGATCACACTATGGAAGCATCTCAATTTAAATAAATGGGGTGCAATTCCCAGTTCCATGCAATCTTCTTCGATCTTAACGAGCCATTTTATCACTCAGAACATCCTCTTCTCCTTCACCACATTGTGGCCCGACAGCAGGAGGTTGGGAAACATTTCTACCCAAACGCCGTGTGTGCGGAGTCACGTTCTCTTACCGGTGCCAAACCCAGCTTTTTGTCCAAAGGTTAGGCCTGTGCTGCCAGCGATGTTGTTGTTGTTGGTGCCCGTGTTGCCAGTGCCAAAGAGCCCTGAGGCCGTGGTGGCGTTGTTGGCGGGCGACATGAAGAGACAGCCGGCTTGTGGGCCCTTGCGGTTGGCAGCGTAGTCCTCCAACCGCAACTCCTGCAAAGGTGCAAGGTTGACACAGTCCAATTAGGTCTGGGGAATTGCAGACGATTCGTCAATAAAAAGTTGACTATTATGCTTGAGATACGCGTGTCGAATTGTGGGGGTAAAGTATTTGTTATTTCAGGTTCATGATAAATTATGTGTATTATTAGTAACAGAAATTAGGTTTGCATTTATGAAAAATTACGAGTTAATAGATTGTCATAATTCGTGGTCACAATTCTAATAGGATTCCATTGGATTATTCTTATGTTGTCCCAAGAATCCAATTCAATTAAACGAAAACCCAGAAATAATTGAAATAATGAATGTCGATTCCTGGGTCTCCATTCAAATCAATGGTATTTTGGTATGAATTCCAAGGCTCGTTAGTAAATGGAGTGCTTTGGCAAATCCCAAGAGAAACTCTGGAAATGCCATGATACCAATGCTTAAATGCTCTCATCACCAATCATAATGGATTACAACTTGGGCTGATAATTTTGTTTTTGTTATCATCGATATTCGCATACAAACATTTAACAAGATTCATTCAGATTGAAATGTCTTTACGCTGGCTGATGACTGGTACAAACGGGGTCTATATTTGCCTCTATGTAGGAATCTCGTGGAGGATGCTACTGGCTGTGCGATATTTAATTACGTATATATTGATTTAGACATTTGGACTACGGTGTCATATTCATTATAGAAACGTATACAGCACCGTGAATAGATTTTAATGTTTGTATAAGTGTCATTAGATTTTTATTTTGTGCCAACTGATCCCCTAGACACCCTTGCAAATTAGACGATTCATAGCAAGAGATTATCCAGGTGAAAAATTTGGTATTAACCAGCACTGCCCATCTATTTGCGTGGGATACACGGCCGGGGTGGAGGGTGGGTGGAGGTGTCACGTCAGCGGGACGTACAAACCTAGCCCAACGCTGTTGGATGCCGGTGAGGTCATCACTGAGCACCTGCCTGACACGTACCACACGTACCAGCCAGAAAAAGTATTTTTTTTATATCAAGTATGACAAAAAACATCATGCATCACCTCAAGCGACTTGGCCTCGTACTCCTTCATGGCAGTGATGCACTGGTGCTGGGTGGAGATCTGCGTGTTGAGCCCGTTCTTGATCATGCTGTCAGTGCCACTAACGGGCTACGCACGCACACACGCGCGGACACACACCATTAGCACGAGCTGCACAGGGCCACCTCCACTCAACCTTTATAGAACATGCCTTCATGATTTATCCAGTTTCAAATTATAACTGTTATTACGCTTGTTAACCCAGGGAAGCCTAAGTCTAAAGACTATTTTTAAAGAGTGTCCTGGCAAGTTTTCACAGTTGGGGGTGACGTTGCTAGGTATAATCCCAAATTGAGTGATTTGCAGGTAATGTTTTTGTATTGGGATGTTTAGCCAATACAAGTTACATTTAGTTTTTTTTTACTTTGCTTTCTTCCTTAAAATAACTTCCTGTGAATGACACGCAAATATAAAGAATGTTACAATTAAAAAGCTGTCTTGCCTTCACCCCCTTCATATTTATTCCTGTTGTGCCATCGGCATCATGACACAACGTATCCGTTTAGATCTCTCTCACAGCAATTAAACTCTTCATGTCAGAGAACGACCCAAGGAAGCGGATATCAAAGCTACCTCGGACATGCCTTCAAGTGATGTCTGATGCACATCACAGGAGGTAGCATGTTCCAACTCATCCTGTTTGTTGCAAGACATTCAAATCGATATTTTTACGTCTCAAGAGATATATATTTTCGAGGGATGTGCGGACCCAAATTTAATGGGGTTTTTTGGGCAGCCGCTAGTGATCTGGCCAACACCATTAACTCGGCACATGTGAGAACCTGGTTTAATCACAGGAAATCTGGTTTCAAACCAAATTTAGCAGTGCCAGCACGGTGCTCTGACCTCTTGAGCCACCTGGCAACCATTTCCAAAGGGTTGAATTCTTATATCCAGGTCTTAATTATTAGCCGCGTCCGTCTAGCTTGGCGACCTGGAAAATATTTATGTACCTAGAAACCACACACCTCTATATGCCTGCGACTACTAGTCACGAACTTACTCAAGAAGTCTTCAAGCGACTCGGAAAATATTCAAAGAGAATATAAGCCCCGGTTAGAGCCACTACACACACACAAACACCGTAACAAAGTACACCCTCACACCCACTGCTGTTGTCAACGACTTACGGTGAACTTGATGGTGGTGCCAGTTGGCGTCGCCGCACCGAACGGTGCCCCGAATACGCTGCCCGCATTCGCCGTTGCCACGCCACCCCCAAACAGGTTCCCGCTGGTGCCCGTGCCACCAAAAAGGCTCCCTGTGTTTCCGCCAAACCCTGAGTCCCCGACCACACGTCCGAGGTAGCGTTTTGTTATGAGGGTGCAATGCAAATAGTGTTCGCTAGTTAATAACATCACTACCGGTGTCACCACCATGAACAATCGACAACATCCCTGAGCCAGTTAAACATACAATTGTCATGTTTTCGAAGTTATTGTGATTGCAATGAATGTGCACGACGCACCGAGTCACGTGTTTGTGCAACCAAAGGTTTTCCTGCATATACATAACACAAAAATGTGAACGTATTTACTATATGTACAGCACAATACCTTGCCTAATATTATACAATAAATCACTCGTTATTAAACATTTCTGAGATCTTCTTTCTTCTTTGAGACTAAATACTGAATATTTTTCATTTAAAAAAATTGCGATTAATCAACACATTTTAAACAGGGTATAAGTTAATAAGGAAGCAGAAAGTTTCTATCTTGTAGCTATAAATATTGGCCATCAGGGAATTTAAAAGCTTTTTTTTCCAGCCATGCTAACAGCAGTGTTGCTGCTCAGCATGGTAAAGTACAGTCAAACAACCCATATTACTGAGATGGTGTGGGGAGGCCTACATCCAGCAGTGGATCAGTACAAGGCTGCACAATTTACTTTTACATCTGTGACAATGACGTATGCTGCTGCACACACACCTGTGAATGTGTTTGGCTTGTTCTGCCCAAACACACCACCCGTGTTCTGCTGGGCGTTTGAGAAGAGTCCCCCTCCTCCACTGGGGACGTTGCCAAACAGCCCCCCATTCGGAGCTGCGCCAAAGCCGAACCCTCCTGTTGTGCCACCCGTCGAATTGGCGGGCTGTCCGAAAGCACCACCTGTTCCAAACATCCCACCTGGGCACGAAAACAGACGCAAAGATGTATACACATGCAACGGTGCAGTGCAGAATAATATACTGCTTGAGACAAATTAAAAACTAAAGCTAGGGTGAGGAACCTTTTTCTGAGGACCGAATACGACGTTTAAATTCCTTTGGCGTGCAGTCACACGTTAATATACATCGAGACACTCCTCTAACCTCAAAGGGCACTTGAGTGACAGAGCACGCTAAAATTATAGTCTTGCCCAGTCAAAAGTATTCCCTTCATTTAGCTGGTTAGTGTGGCAGTGATGCTTGCAGTGATGGATACATTTCAAATTAAATTGTATTTTGTTTGACCAGATGAGATCCCGAGTGACCTGGGCCACCAAAATAAAATAAAATATAGCAATGAAATAAAATAGCAATAAATGTATATTGTTTGTGGGTCATTCTTAAGTGGTAGGCCTCCTATGGCTATGGGTTGGATGAAATAAAGTAGTGGGTTATATCTGGCACACAATCCACAGCTTCCCCATGCCTGAACTAACGACTTAAATGCTGCTGCTTCTGCACCAACACCCAGAGTAATATGAGGCTTCCCTTCCACGAGCCTACAGATATGGGGGAATACCTTAGCATCCCATCTTGAAGTACGTTTATTATACCTCCATGGCCGTACCTGGCTTAGACTGGTCGTTGTTGCCAAACAGACCCCCAGATGAGGACGACCCAAAGCCTGTGCTGCCGAACAAGCCACCACCGAACCCAGTGTCTGCCATATATCACATATGCAGTGGTGATATAATATTAGGAAGCACACACAGATACTGCCTGGACATCACTACTAGCTAGTGCTGCGCTACGCAGCTATGCAAGCCCTCCACCCCCCCCCCCCCTTTTTTGTCGTATGTGTCTGTGGGATCCCACACACGCATTTACGGCTCACCATCCCCGGGGTTGTGCTCCAGTCACCACTGCTGAATTGTTGGCAGCACGTGAAATTATAATTAAGATATGAATTAAAAGCCCGAGTTTACTTCGGCTAAATGGCTACTGAATGAAATGCATAATAAATTAACCTTCGTAATGTAATCGTGAAGTTTTAAATAATGAACACTGTCCAATTGCTTTTTGATCAGCATAAACTGGTTATGGCATGACATTTTAGAGGCTACTTCTAAATCTCAAACGCAATATCCATTCGTCCAGATTTTTATATTTACCAGCCCACTGCATTCACATAATGTGTTGATCGCCAGATGTACATTATGTTTTCAGACTGAACAGTTTAACTAAATGTCTGGACTGGGACAAAATGAGGGATGGAGTTTGGTTGTGAAAAGTGGCACAATAATAATGGATGCCACATAACTACCCTACCAGGGACAAGGGACAGAGAAGACTCAGGGACCAAGGAAGGAAAGAGACACAAGAGATGTAGTCATGGAAAAGAAAGAAACATTGGTGACTCAGGGAATGGTCGCTATGTCACTTACTTGTGCCGAAGGGCCCCGAGGGAGCGGCTAAGACGCCACTGCCTGCGCTGGTGCCGAATCCACTTCCAAAGGGTTTTTGTGCAAACATGGTCGCTCAGCGAAGGGGTTGTTTGCCTGCGAGCACTGAAAGATTCACATGCATAAAACACACATACTGTTAGGATAAACGATCCACCTTCAGTATATCACTCGCTTTGTTTGTGCAGACTAGTCACGTATCTACGCTACCTGCAACCAGGAAAATGTTCAGCGAGAATCAGGTCTACTGAAAGGTTCCCCAAGAGATATTATAATTCCCTTTCAATAAAGCAAACAACAATGGGACAAATGTACAAAATACTACAGTTCTTGATCCTATGCTTGTTCAGGGGGTTCTGTTTTGGGGTTTTGTTTTAAGATTATTTTAGCCAGTTAATGAGTGTTTATATATTTGAAAGAAAAACGGAACACCCAGAGAAAACCAATGCACGCAAGGGGGCAAGACCACCTCCGTACCGATGAAAACAGATGGGTATTAATCCATTTGCTATATTGACTTCTCCTGGTGAGCCAGGGTATGGCAACTCAACGCCCATGGGAAGGGAATTTCACGTGTGCGCCATCCACCAAACTTCGCCTCTACAGTGCTGCATTACACAGCCGAGCCCTGAGTCACGTCTCCCCTGATCTAGTCCCCCCAAGCCAGTCGGTATGCGTTTCCCTGATCCAGTCTCCAAGGATTTCCATAATGTAGTTCTCCCTGATCCAGTCCCCCATGATTCAGTCCCCCCTGATCCAATGCCCCTTGTCCAGTCGCCACGAGTACAATCTCCCTGACCAAGTCACTCCTAATCTAGCTCCCACTGATCCAGTTCCCCAATAATCCAGTCCCTCTGATACACTCCCTGTTCTCGTTCCCACTGATGATCCAATCTCCCTGATCTAGTCACCAACTGATTAAATCTGCCTGATCCAGTCTCCCTGATCTAGTCACCGACTGATCCAATCTCCCCGATCCAGTTTCCACTGATCCAGTCAGTCTTGAATCCCCCCCCCCCCTCTCCCGATCCAATGCCCCCGAACCAGTCCATACTGGTTCTATCCTGTCGCGACCGGTCTAGACCCCGCCTGCGGAAGATTGCGCAACGCCGCAGATTAATGACGCCACCCTCAACCTCGACCTCCAATGGCCATTGCCATGGGCAACAGGGACCCGGAGTCAGCTCGGGTCAAGGTCAACGGGTCAGGTCAAGTGAGGTCAGGTCACCCGGGTCCCGCATTGCAGCACGCGTTACATTAAATACAGCGGATAGGCAACACGCGCTCACGTGACGCAGCATTGCGAGCCACCATTGGCCGGCGGTAACGGGCTAGACCAATCGATCGCGATCTGTGCTTATCAATGCTAAGAATTGTAAAATTATATTGGCCGCGCATTCGCTATTAATACGAATAAAACAAACACTCGACATTCGTCATTAACACTGCCCTCGTTATACAAACACACAATAGGCGGCGTGACGCTTTAACGGCCCTTCACAGCGACACATCCTCTCGTCATAATATCTCGTCATAATCTCTCGTCGTGATAAGGGCCACTTGCCCGAGACGTCGCATATTACACACCATCTCCTCTTCAGGAACGAATATGAACGAGAACGAACGTGTGAAGTTCGTATTATGTACGCCTGACAACCTCAACCAACCTGCGCAGTAACCCCGACCGCCCCACACGCGCCACGCCATGTAAACACGAAACTTGACTTGGCGGCTCGACGCTCACCTTCTCGCGTGCTTGCGACGACTCGGGGGGGGGGGGGCAGCTTCACCTCCTCAAGATGCCTTGTTCGTCGCGTAACGGTGAGCAGGAGCGAGCGATGAGAGACCAGACCGCTCGTGGCTTCTTCTCGTCGTCGTTGTTGTTGTTGTTACTGAGCGCCTCCAGACACACAGCGCCACAGACGCGCCACGTGACCTCACCAAGCCCCGCCCCCTTACCCCCCAAAACCCCGCCCCTTACCCCCCAAAACCCCGCCCCTTTCATTAGAACCCCACTCCTTACCCCCAAAACCCCCACCCCTTTCATTAGAACCCCACCCCTTACCCCCCAAACCCCCACCCCTTTCCCCCAAAACCCCGCCCCTTTTCCTACAAACCCCGCCCCCTGTGCCCCCCCCCACACTACCCCCTCTCGGCGGCCTCCTGGCCGAGCCCGCCAGGGGGTCGTGACGTCACCGCGCTTTATCACACGTGACGCGGCACGTGACGCAGCACGGTCGTTGACATTTGTCATTTAGAAGGCGTTGTCGCGCACGGCGCTTCCCGCAGTCAAGGCTCATTATAATAATTATTATCATTATAATAATTATTATATTATCATTATAATAATTATTATATTGATAATGATTATTTTCCAATGAGACGGAGGGAGTTTGCGATTTGTGGTCGCTTTTACGTCGATCGATGAAGGAGGGAATGGCGTCTGAATCGCACGCAGCCAGGGAGACCACAACAAGAGGCGTCACGGCGGGGGGGGGGGGGACGTCACGGCGGGGGGGGGGTGTGACGTCACGGCGGGGGGGGTCACGGCGGGGGGGGGGTGACGTCACGGCGGGGGGGGGGGGCCCGCGCCTTACGAGGAGTTTGATGGCGGGGTTCAGAGACAACGCTCACCACCCCGATTATCTGGTGGTGATGCCGCTGCTGCTGCTGTGTTGGCAGTGATACACAGGCACAATTAACAACTATTCAGCACACTCGTCAACAGAACTGTCGCCTTCAAATAAAATATCTAACCAGGCGACGTTTCGGGCAAGTGACCCTGTGTGATGACACGTCACATGAGTTTAATTTCAACCCAAGCTGTACTTTAGAATGCGGAGCGAGGTTCGGAGATTCGGGGGCGAGCGCGCTGGGCATGAGTGCGCGGTGCGGGAAGAAGATTGATGCCGAGTGAATCATCATCCTTGACGACGCAACTATACTGTGTAGGGGTGCTGGGTCGGAGGGGGGCCCAGGGACAATTTATAAATTGGTGGAGGGGGGGGTCAACGACTGACCGATTTTCAAGTGGATTATCAAGTGGATTCAACCAGTCAACTGTCAAGATTCATAAGACGATGGGACACGGATGTTTTATTAAACGGAAGACGTCTGCGACATCGCTCGCATTCGGTGATGTCGTTGAAGTCCGGGAGCTCGTCCACGAAACTGCTCGATGCACAACTGAAGAACACGACGCGCATCGTAACCGCGACGCTGAAACCGACGCCGACCTCCTGGGCCCGACTGTTCCAGCGAACGTTCCGCCACCAAATATTCGCAGGAACATACAAAGCTGAAAGGGAGTTGACACGTTTTCTTGCCAACGACAACCACCTGCCCATCATCAACCAAGACGTCAACAGTCTACCTCGCCACCGACTCAAGTGCCCATCTCCCCTGGGATATTGGGATCATGGGGCGATGACGCACCCTGCCTCAATCGGTTTGCCTCGTGTTGCAGAGGTTCACGAATGGAATTCAGCGGCCGCCCTGATTAATACTGCGGGTTGTATCAATTATACAAAACACTATGCGCCGTCTGCTTCACTGTCGACGTGAAGAATCCCGTGATGTTATTTGCAAGGGTCAGCCACTGTGTCAGCGTCGTGGTCTAAATTTGCCAAATGTTAAGTGTGCAGCACAATCACTCAATTGGCACTATACAAAGCACTCAATGCAAATATTTCGCAGGACCCTCCTGACAAAAATAAAGTCACGAGCCTCAATGAGGCTTTCCTGGGTAAATAAACGTAAATAATCACATAATAGAAATAACACGCGTGCCGACCCGTTCGCTGCGTGACGCTAGTACACAACTGCCTACACGCCGATCGCCTTGTTCGCAACGTCTCGTGCAGTGGAAAAACAATACCGGCGCCTCTCGAGGTGCGCAGCGCTGTCTCGGCATGGCCCTGGCGCGGCTCGGTTGTGCAGTTGAGAAAGAGGCAAACGGCACCAAACAAAAGCGGTCCTCTACGGCCAACCCTCGCATCATCTTCACGCATCTCGACTCGCTCACAGTGTGTGCGTGACATCACAAACGTGTGTCTGGAGCTCGCAGTCCCGATTTCCCCCCACCACCCCCACCTTCAGTCCGAGTCATCCGAGTCATCCGAGTCATCGCTGTCGGACTCGTGCCGGCGCTTGCCGCCCTGCGAACTTTGCGGTGGCGCTGTCGGATCCGGCGCCCCTTCCAGGAGCCCCGCGAAGAAATCTTCGGCCGTGTCGGCCTTGGCATTGAGTCCGAGGAGCGGGCGGTTCTTCTGCACACGGCGCCGGTAGTCGTTGACCTTGCGCCGGCGCAGCTCATCTGCCGGCCAGAACTTGACGAGCTGGTCGTGCCCGCAGCTCGTCAGGAAGCGTCCATCCCCTGTGAGCTCCAGCGCCTCTATGGGGTCATTCCCATGCTGCCCCACCACGCCGAGCACGCGGTTTGGCAGCAGGCTCACCGCCCTGCACATGGTGGTGAAACAAAGCGGGCAGGGTGGGGTGAGCAGCGCACAAGTGCACACCATTCAAGAGCCGAATGGCTCACAGTGCTATACCAAATAAATGAAACGGAAACCGAAACCAGCGGCACGGCGCCCATGATTAGATTGACCTGCAAATCACAAGTGGAACACGGAATATAATGATAGGAGACGAGATTGGTGATGTGAGACACGGGCCAAGAGACACAGAACACATGGGACAAAGTGGAACATATGTGAGGTGCGGTATAAATGATGATGACGATGGCGGTGGTGGGGCAGGAACCTGATAATGCCGTCCATGCTGGCCGTGCACACTAGGTTGTCTGAAACGCGTGCCAGGCAGTCGACCGATTCGGTGCGCGTGGAGAACCGGTCGCTGACCGCGCCGAAGCCGCCCCAGTTGAAGAGCAGCAGCCAGCCCTCGCTCGAGCCACACACCACCTTGGTCCCCTCCTGCTCACACGTGCCACCACCACCGCCGCCACCACGCAAGCAAAACCACAACTGTCACAACCGCCACCACCATCAGGCAAGACACCACTGGAATCATTGGACGTCGGTCTGCAATGTAGCCATCGCGTGTCGCTCCGTGTCGCCCCGTCTCCCTACAGCTTTGTCCGTTTCATTTTTGTAAAGACTGTTAATTCAAACTAAAATCTGATTTCACACAGCGCCATTCAACCCGGCCTCTCGAGTCTTCACCCGGACGAGAAGCAAAACCCCAACAACGCGGTGTCACGGCGCGCTCACCTTGACAATGGCGATGGAGGTGAGGTCGCAGTCCTGCACCTCGGACTTGACGTCCAACCTCCGGCGCCGCACGTTGAAGGCGCACAGCGTCCCGTCGCCGCTGCTCGCACACGGCGATCGTGACAGCGGCCGTCACGCAAAGCCTCACAACACGGCCTCGCCAGCGACACTTCAACACTTTCAAGTGATTTTAAGAATCACAGTTCCACCATAGCGCACAGTTCTGCATAAAGCAGAAGTGACATCTTGACTTAATTTTATTTTTTAACCTAAGTGACTTCACCGAAAGACGCAAAGAACAGAAGTGACATCATCGCAGTGATGAATTAAAACTGAAATGACATCACGCGAGCAGTTTGGTGCTTGTTTACTCAAATATGTGTAGTTCAGGTCGTTTTTCCCCGTTTACAGTTATCAATGCACGTGTCTTGTCAGTGTTTGTGTGTACAAGTGGATGTGTGGTACTGGCCAGGCGTGGGGGTTTTTGCCACTGTGTTGATCCGTGAGGTCGCATATTTAACATTATTTTGGCACAGATAAGCTATATGCTCTGCTTGACTGAAGCGGAAGCGCTAAGGATGCGGGCGGTGGCCGTCCCCGCTCACCTAGTGGTGAGCAACGTCCTCTTGTCATCTCCCACGACCATGCTGCTGACGAAGTCGGTGTGCTCCAGCTGCTCCATGACGTATGTCCCCTGGCGGAAGTCCCACACGCGCACGACGCCATCGTCGCCGCCTGTCGCCGTCAGGTTCTCGTCGATCACCGCAAGGCTGTAGATGGCCGAGCTGCGTGCAGCCGCAAAGGTGAGAGACGGAGGCACGAGGGGAGAGCGAGATTAGCGACGCCGGAGCGCGACCTGCTGAACGATGCCGAAGCCTGACCTACCATTGCGCAAATCGTCTCCTGCTGTGAAGTCTGTCAGGGCGTGCCGGGCGGACTGGTTTGCCTTGCACATGCTGGAGGAGAACGCCGTTACATGGCTCTGTGGCTATGTGAGCTGACGTCCACTCATACATAACATTCACGCATATATGTATGTGTTTAATTATTTTGTGTATCTGCTGCTCTGTGTAAAAGTATTCACTAAATACCATGAAGCACAGTTCTGCCATGAAACAAATTCCTGAATCCTCTACGCAAGCCCTATCCCTAACCAAGCACTAACTTCAACATTTCTTACCATAACGCAGTCTTAACTCCAACACAGTGCGAAATAATGTTTATTTAGTTTTATATAAAGCGTCATCGTTTGTTTAACCCAAAAAACCTCTATTATGTGTCATCATTTGTGGAAATCCTATCTCTCACGATCACTGAGAAACCGCAGACAGGAGCTGGTAGGCAGCAGCCAGGCGGTGAGCAGGTGCTACCAACATTTTTCAAAGCTCTGTGGTCCTACATATGTATGAATGGTTTCAGCCAATGATTGAAGGGCCACTCACTCGTGAGCCTTCTGAATCCTCTTCACCAGCTTGCCCTGCTCCACGTCGAACAGCAGCACAGACTTGTCCTTGGACACGGAGTAGAGCTCTGCGGGGAAAGGCGGCAGATGTGACGCACGGCTCACGAGGGCCAGGAAGGCACGACGCCCATCGATAAACGCCCTGGGTGCGCGTCACGCAACCAACACATTCGCGTGCGTAACACTTCCCGCCCGCACTGCTTGCCGCACGCACACATACTC